AAAAATATGAATAAATACCTTAATTAAATTTATTAAATAATCTTTATATAAATAAATGATTTTTGATATCTAATTTATATACAACAGTGACACATATGTCATTTTGGGTAATTTTTAAGAAAGTTCTATTTAAAGTATTATTTAATAAAATGATTGACCCATAATTATTCTCTTATTCTTTTATATATGTATCATTCTCGATTGATCTTCCTCTCTCTCTCTCTCTCTCTCTCTATATATATATATATATATATATATATATACATGTATAAGGATGCTAAAAGAAAACAATAGATTGTAAAAATGTATTATATACATTATATTATAAATATTTTTTATAATAAATAATGTATTTTATACAAAGACGAACAATCGCGTGCGAATATGAGTTTTAGTAAGAAGTGTAATAAGGGATTTGAACTCCTGATCACTTTTAATCTCACCCTTACCCTATAAATTGTGCTTGATATGAGAATTGATCCGGTGCATCTCTGTACATCTCATTGCTGTTGATTTTCAATTGAGATTAATCTAAGAATGAAGATCTTTTTTTACCATTCTCTCCATAGCTTTCATTCTTATCGGAACCCAACCCTTTATATATGATCATGGATATAGTTTTTGCAAAATTAAACCCGCCTTATTACTCATAACCATTGAATTATGGGTTTCCTTGTTCTCTTTTTAGTGTTTTTTCTTGAACCATGATGATGTAACTGTAATTTCAGAAAACTAGAGATGGAAGCAACAATTTTCAACAAATCATATTGACGGAAAACATAATTTACAAGATATGGAATAAATAAAGTTGATGGATAAAAACCGTTAAAATAGAAAAACATAACGAGACCAAACCCGTAATTTACTCTTAGGGCTTGTTTGTTTATTTAAAAAAAGCTCTTAAGTCTGAATCGGTCAGACGTTTTTATTTTCAGACCGTTTGATTTTTTTTGAAAATAAGAGCTGAAAAGCTTTTATTGTCCTCTGAATTTTTAAGTGGCAGTCTAAACTCTTAATGGGCTCTTATTCACACACCATATCGATCTCTCGTTCTCTCGCTTGATTTCCAGCTACCAAATCATACCGATCTATCCACATCATACGATCTAGACACCATATCGATCTCTCGCTCGGTCTCAAGCTACCGATCTATCCAAAACGATCTCTACAAATCGATCTCTCCTATATATGAGTTATTTTCTGAGTATGATCAAACCAATGAGCAAAGGATGATGGCGACACAATTAATGCAATATGAATATTGGTTCTAGTCGTTATGAGACTTTTTTCGTGTTTATATTGATTCAGATTTCAGACTTCAGACGTAAAAACAAACAGTCTGACTGATTCAGATTTCAGACTTCAGCACCACCTCTTATAAATCAGAAGTGAAATCATACTTCAGACTTCAGCACCTCTTAAAAAACAAACACCACCTTACTATTATTTTTCAATGGGTATTCAACATTCCAGTTAAATATTCATATTAAATTATGTATCAAAAAAAAAAGCCACATCGATTTTGGTTCGCAAAGATAGGCATGGCAACGGGACGGGGATGGGGCAGTTTTTGAATCTCCGTCCCCGATTTTTAGTAATAGCCTCGGCCCCGACCCTGACAGATACGAGGATTAACATCCCGTCCCCGATCAAACCCCATAAAGATGTTAGTTTGAGTCTACCGGGGATCCCCGACCTTGAGACACTGAATCGGGACAAATCACCATTCTTTCGAAAAGATCTCTAAATGAATATCCTACATATTTTAAATATGTGCTTTTAGTATTTCGTTTTTAAACGCCATATTTTTGTAAATATAAAAAGAATCATCAAAATTAACACAAAATGCCAAAACAAACGCAATCAAGTGCCTTGGACTTTTGGGAGGTATCATATTAAACGTTTGATCACCATTATAAAATATAGAGACTTTATCGACGAAAAAATTTATCAGTAATCCATCGAAAATAGCTATCATCAGTAGACTGCCAGTGGATCTCATCATCAAAGAAAATGCGGCTAGTAATCGTCATTACCGAATGATTTTTAAAGACCGATGGAGAAATCTGTCAATGATGGTCAATCTACAGGAAATTACTGATAAAATAAAACAATGAAAAAAAATACTGTTTGGTCAAAGAATGTCAACAAAACCAATTTTGTTGACATTGTTATATTCGTTTAGCAGATTAAACGTTCAATCTTCACTTACTTATATAAAACAAAATATTTCTTGACAAAAAGACGTAAAAAAGACAATCTTGTTGACGTTGTTATATTCTTTTAGCAGATTAAAACGTTCAATCTTCAATTACGTATATAGAGTAAAATAACGAAAATATACAACTTGATCATAGAATGAAAACAAAAACAATTTTGTTGACGTTGTCATATTCGTTTAACAGATTAAAATTTTAACGTCCACCTTTTATTCATATAAAATAATTAAAAAAATACTATCTGATTGAAGAACGTCAACAAAAACAAATATGTTGACGTCGTTATATCTGTTTTTTTCCCATTAATTAAAATTATTTTAATACAACAATTGTCATGTTAAAAACAAAATCAAAGACAAATCAAGTTAAAAAAAAGGGCATGTGGTTGTGTAGTTGGCAAAATTTGGATTAAGTGATGTCGTTTGGTTAATTAAATATATTGCATGGTTTTGAAGTCACTTGTAAACTATGGAAGACAACAAAATATGGTAACATAAAATTCAATTGGGGACTTTTATTTTGTTAAAATATTAGGGGTGTTTTGGACATAAAAGTACAAGATTCCTTTTTAACATATGCAAAATATTATTAATAATTTGTAAATTGATATCGAAAAATCCGATAATTGTTTGTATTTGATCTGGAAATATGATATCTGGTTGGAAAAGAATAATAACTGTGTATTTTTGTTGGTGTGCAAATAAACAAGTTATGAGTATTGGCAAAAAATCGTGTCTTTGCTTTTTATAGAAGAGGTTTTAAGATGCAACTTTTAGGGGTTTCGGCTATGGACGTATTCGGTTTGTTGATTATGAATACAAGGAAAAGGGTTTTGTCGTTTTGGGTTTCTTGTTAAAAGAAGACACGGATGTCGGTTTAGAAATTACGTTAAAGAAGCAGACATGGATGGAATTTTATAAATTTTAGGTTTAGAAATTAAGCTAAAAATGTTACCGTTTCTCTTGGTAAGAGACATAAATAAAAAGACAACATATGGTGGTACGATGATTTCATTTCGTCGTTGTTTACACGTACATAAACATTTACCCGACACATATAAACGTATTTCAAATTTTTTAATTGTTTTAGAAGGGTAAATTGCATCAAAATGAAACTAAATTTGTACTTTTTTTTATGTTTTAGGAATCAACTTTCAATACTTCATTTTGGACCTAGTCCCAAACTTTACAAAACATTCAAAGATCTCTTTAACATCTCTAACGGAATCACTGTATCGCCTAAACAACAATACGGAAACAAATATAGATTGACGATGTACTTTATAACACCTCAACCATTAAATACAATCATCACAACATAGTAACCAAGAATATATGCTTCACTATGCAATGGTGATACCTCAAACAAGTAAATAACACAAGATTTAACATGGTTTCACTATCGAGACGACAATATTTGTAGATAATAGAGGAAAAATCAATATTTATCAACACAAATCAATGGATTTTTTTGGTTTTTTGTTTGATGTCTTTTGTATTTTCAATATCCTATTGCACACCTCAAAATTTAGCCGGTGCACCTTTCATAAACTAAAAAAAGAATTTACTTGCGAAAATCAGCTGAGCCAGTGCACAGGACCCCGCTCGGGTATTCGTAGGTCCGCCCCTGCCAAATGTTCAATGGCCCAACAATACCCAATTACTGATAGAGCTCAGCTTTCTAAGAGGTCAAGGTTTAAATATCACCAAAAATGAGGAGTGTGAGTGTTTGTCATATATAAACATTGTACACTTCAATAAAAACATTTGTTCCATTACTATACGACACCTATGTGATATTTTTGGTCACATAACCAAGTCGCATACATCAAGCTATGTGATTTCCCAAGTCACATGCGGGTTATTATTTCTATACCGTAACTTCTGTCCCTTGAATGAACAACTTGCCCAGAGACTCCTAATTTCTTGCAAGTAACGTATAAGAACAACCAAAGATGGATCCATAAAAAAATTCAAATCGTAACATTGTAGTACACAACGAAACAAAATGATGGCATGGTAAGGAGCATAAAAAAAATTACACTATACTAAAACAATTTTGTGGCGACACCAGACCTCACTGATGATCATGTAAATCCGCCTGTTCTCAAGTTTGTCACAATTTTAATATCCGCTTTGTGGCAGTAACATTTCATGGCTCTCCTATATTCACTTGCCTTCCTTTTATCCTACAACATACATAAAACATCAACGTATAAAAGATTGATTATACCTTAAACTCGCCTAAACTAAGTCCCATAAGAAAAACCTTTGAAGAATGAAGATCAAGATTGAGTTTCATACCAATAACTTTTTCAAAAACCTGAAAGATTGACATGCCTGAAGAAGGGAAGGGTAGAAAGGTAATTCCACATAAAGGGTCATCTCTTTTGTTGATAAAGATACATATTGATATTGTTAAAAAGTACTTCAACGCAATCCCAAGGATTAGAAGTTGTAAATAAGTCTATAGATGCAGTATCAGTATAGATAAAGCTGTCTCTATAGATTAATCTATCCGTATAGATTGGGAGAGTTTTTGTTTGGAAGGTTTTCATATATGGAAGGAGTGTATTTTTTAATTTGGAGGAGCAATTTAAAAAAAAAAACTTGGCTTTCTGCATAAAAGTCTCCTTAGAAGCTTACTGAACAAGTCAGTTTCTATATCATTAAGCCACTACCAAACAGTCATGTATAGCTGACCAAATAAGCTGAGTCTCATTAAGCTGGCAACAAACAGGCATTAAGCAACATATGGTCCAGCTTGAACCCCTTGGGTTGACAGCTTGAGCTTGCTGCTTTGACACATTTCTTCAGCAAGAACATTTTGTTATATTTCGTCTATTTTCAATTTAAGAAATCGAGGGGGAAGGGAAATCTTTTTTGTTCTGAAAAATGGTTGTAACTGCCTTTTTAATCAAGTCCTTAGATCATCTAATTTAACGGTTGATATCTATTATCAACTTCTCATTCTATTTGCCATTCTCATTTGAACATATATGCAACTTTCATCAAACATCTAAGAAAAGATAGTATTGCAACATCCATGAGATGATCAAGGTAATTATTTCCGAAGAAAAGAAAATGAATAACAATTTGCCAAAAGAAAACTATTGGTGAGTGTTTTGGACACCCTAACACGCTGGTTACATTTTGGTGCAATGTACCCTAACTAATACTACTACATATGCGAGTGTGGGCAAATGCTGGAATATATGCTCAACCTGAAGATATATGGGTACAAGTAAAAAACCATCCATGAATTTTGCGGTGCGATTTTACCCATGATTTTTCGATATGTATGCAATTAACAAGTATTTTTGCTATATCTACTCACCGTATGGTTCCACCATACAGAACACTTATCATAATTTGAAGAAAATACATAGAAACTGCAAAGAATCCCATGGGATAAAAGCCGATTTAATGTTTTAGCAATGTGACAAAGAAAGATGAAACCAAAAACCTGAAACAAATTAAGATTTACATAAACTTACGTAATCAAGGAACCGATGGAGTTGTTGGAGTTGAGGATGTCAATGGTGGCTCCTTACGGAACTCCTTGACCACAGCAGCTAGTGCCTCGGGGTTTAATCCGTGGTCACAGAGTGCAATGAGCACAGAAAGTGTGTGGCGATCCAACCCTAAGTCAAGAATGTTTGACATCTGAAAAACTAACTCCAGGGATTCCCGGGCAGTGCGTGCAGCTTCTGGATCCATGAACGAAGAACTTCAAAATATAACTGCAAAGTTCAAAACCAACTTGAAAAAAAATGAAAATCATAACAATTAGACATTAAAATCACCAAAAGAAAACCATGACAATAACCATCACTGCAAATTTCAAGTTTGATGCACCAAAATACTCTTAGCTGATTAAGGTTTCTGATCCTCTCTCCGTTCAAAAACTCGAATAACATGTTGAAATTTTGAATTTTGAAATCAAACCTAAACCATCCCAATGTGGATTTGATTGCAAATTCGAACATCAAGATCATTTTAGTAAATGCGTGTAATGTCGTTCGCAATCAATTTTCCTTAAAACGCCTAAAACACGTATCAATTTTGAAATTCAAATATCTCCTGTTCAATCGCAAAATGAAATTATGAGAGACAGTGTAATCATCTAATCTAAATGCAGAAATCATGAAAGGACCAAATTTGAGTTCCATCGCATTACGATACAAGAACTTGGCAATCGATTATAAACAAATACATAAACAACAATCGTGAAACGTAAGTAAATGATGGGAACACAAGAAAATCAACTGATCCCAAGAGTGAAGGAAGTGATTACCTGCTCGAAGCTTCAATTTGGGCGATTAGGGCTTCAAATGTCGGACGGCGTTAGGGAAGTGAGCGAGGGAGAAAGTGGACCCTGAAATTTCAATTTCCTAAATATTTCACAGCATGTTATCAATTTGATAAATAATACGATAAAATCGATGTATTTATAAAATTAAATATTCGTTACATTTGATTGGAAGAAAACTATAAAGAAAAAAAAAAGGAAAATTGTTCTAAAATGGAACCAACTTTCATCTTATTTCTATTTTGGAGAACCAATTTTTAAAATCAGTCATTTTGGAGTCTCTATCAAACTTTTTGTTTATTTAAGGATCTGATTGATCTGTTAAACAGGTAACAAATAATTTAAGGGCCTCTCATTCAAATTGTTAGATTCAGATATTCAACGTATCGTAGCTATGACCATCTAATTTGACATATTTTTTAATCCATTTTATTTCATTATCCGAGTTCATTTTTGTCAAATTTTTTCCTAATCCTTAAACTATATATATAAACTTGACATTGCAAATAATGATAATTGGTGATTGAAAACATGAGGAGACAACATCTGGATCGTTAAGAGTTGAATCTTGTTTGGCAAGAAAAAATTTGTCTCTTAATAGTTCTAAAACCTTCAGAATGATTTTGTATCTTGATCCTCCCTTAACCATTCAACCCGTAATTTCTTTGTAAACAATTACCAAACAATTATTTTTCATTTTGCATTATATCATGAGAGTCTTTAAATCATTCAACAACTGTCAAACAGTCCCTACATATTGGCCATAATTTTTTTATGTAGATATTGTACCGAAATTTTTAAACAACTTTCTTACGAAGATTGAAGGAGGGCCGAATGCACCTATTAGTCCTTTAGCTTTTGTCACCATGCACATCTACAATACCAACGTACTATCTATACGTATTCCATTTTCGAAGAGAAAATGTAAAATAAACACGTATTCGAGTGATGGCGAACCGTAAATGTGTACATCCGGTTGCATCATAAATGGGAACAAATCAAGAAACGACGAAGAAAAATTTCTCAGGTTAAGCATCATAGAAGGAACCCGTATCCCGTTTGCTTGATGCCACAAAGTGTTTTAATCATAATGAAACAAAGAGAAAGAACAAAAGCGGATGACCACTAGAAACGTCTCAAAAAAGATAGGAATACAGTGGACAAAAACTCTAAAACTCAAAACTCGATGTTTTTTTGAATATTGCAGTCCGATACCTCACAGTTTCTCTTCAGTACTCGACTCTACAGCAGCTCGTGTTGTCCGCTGTCTTGGATCTGCCATTAAAACACCACCATGCCCTCCTGCAATAAAGAAGGCATGTAAACAAAACCTTAAAAACATGGGTTAGAAAGCATTTTGACTTTTGAGGTCAAACATACACTTTCTAAATCCAATATTGACCAAGATTTACTTATTTATCTCAAATTTTTATTCCAACATTTTACATGTTTTATGTAATGAAGGTAAAATAGTCGTTGAAGTTGTGGACTAAGGTTGCAGGATACTTGTTGATTTTGAATTTGAAAACCATAACCTTTGACCTTATGGGGCAGGGTAGATTATAGAAAAAAAACTTACCATGAGGCATTGACCTTCGATCATTTGAGACAGCCCCAGGACTTGAACTCCCAGCAACATAGAATCTTCCACGTGGCAAACCAGAGTTACTGGCGGCCATGCCAGTGTTTTCACCAGTCACCGGAATATTTTCACCACTGGGTCTGGCTGGTTTGACGACCGAATTGGAGTAACTTGTTGACCATGATGCACCAGTAGATCCGGCCAGAGCCATTATCGCATCTGCCTGAAAGAAACCAAACAGGATGATCTATACAACTTTCAAAGGATCAAAAAGAGTGAACTTGTTCACAAATATCTTTTCTTGATGATCATTTCAACTGCATTCATTAGAACAAACTGAAAGGATCAAAGAGAAAAAACTGACTTTGTTCGGATGAACATCATCAAAGACATGAGCTTGACCGCCGTAAAATATAGTCATCTGGCGACTAGCAGACGTTGAACCTTGTCGGCTGCAAATGTAACCATAAAATGTTAGATCTAGGGGTATCGTGATGAATCAATTGAACAAGACTTGGATAGAATTTTGGAGCGTGTAAGGAACACTTTCCATTAGTAATATTTCGACTTCGCCAGGGGAATAATCGAAATTCACACTCTGGTTTTTAAGCAGAAAACGAGAATAAAACACAAAGATCTTGTTATATTCCAATGTTAAATGGAGACTGAAAACTCCTATGACGTCAACATCAATGAGAGCACTCACCGTTAATCAGAAGTGATTTCTCACTTTCTCTTGATCAGCAGAGATCAGTAGACCACTGCTGATCGGCAGAAAGTGAGCACTCACCGTCACCGCTGACTCACTGATCAATGCCGAAGGCACTCGTTGATCAGTGTTTACTAAAAATACTTCAGTGCCTCAAGAATAAGGCACACCGAAAGTATTGATCTCATTGTCGGCCTCTTCCACATACCGGTTAGCTTTAGGGGCCTTGTCCTTTAGACCCCTGCTGCACGGAGATCTTAGATTCAAGTTAGATTATACAAGTGCAGTCTGCACTTGCTAACCTGTATTATAGCTTAACCAAATACCCTTTCAATCACTTGTAAATTTCAATTACACCAAACGGGCAGATGACAGCAAAATCACCAACATAAAACGCATATATCTTATCACAATACTTGGTTCAAAATGATTGAATCGAGTGTTTATAATGTTTACCGAAGAGGAGAAGACGACCCTGGCTCAGGAACACTGATTACAGACTTCTGTTTGCCAATAGCTGGTTCAGCTACGCCACCATTGACGTTAATCGAGCTGCTCAAAATTCCTGACCCTTTGATTCCAGTTCTAGATCCTTGATCAGCAGCTGATTGGGAAATCACTGAACCCACATTGGCATCTTTAAATCGATTTGAAAGTGTTTGATATGCATTTGGTACAGCTTGACCAGCTCGTGGAGGGTACTGCAATAATGGCCCAACGTTAACCGGAATGGCTCGTTCCCATTTAGATGTTGGTCTAATTGGATGAGCAGCCATGAAAGCTTCAACTTCATGGGGTCGTTTTAGTTGTTCTTGCTGCCCTATATTCGAAAGGACCTTCATCAGATGTGAGTTTTCTGGAAAATCTGGTCTGATTTGGGGGACACCATCTCTGGATGAACCCATGAATACATAATCTGAGTTACTGCGTTTACTCCCTGCATATCGGTTACGGATTTCTGAGGGTGAAAAATCGTTTCTTTGGCCATAAAATGGCACTCCTTCAAGATGAGATCCAACCTGTCTGTCTACCATGGTTAAAATGAGAAAATTTATCAAATTATGATAAGAATGTGACAATATGATCACCATTAAAGCTTCAAGTATGAGCACTGACGTGTTCAACCACTCGTTTTAATCGATCATGAGGATATATATTCTATCAAATACTTGTGCAATGAGAATTCAAACCATGGGAATTTGCTGAAATTGCAATATTGGAAGAAAAAAATCTGAATAACCGCAGACATTTTATCAAACAGTGGACGGGCAGGTTTACTTACCAGAATCCAGATCAGAAGTAGTGGAAATGGGGGCACCACCGGCACGCGATGCAGAAGGAGAAGGGGAACCACCGTCGGCGGCGGCGCAGTGAAGCAATGGAGCACACTGACGGCCAAGGAAATCATGGAAAATTGTGGGCTTCACATCGTCATTGACATTGGTGGTGGTGTTTTGAGACATTGTGCTTGAAAACAGGACGGCAGCCATAATCTCATCGGAAACCACTTGTCATCATCGAGACCCGAAAAGGAAAGTGGAGGATGATGGGAGCACGATTATCAGAAAAGATGAAAGATAAAGGATTTTGAAGAGCAAAAGGTAGTTGCTTTGTACAAATTCTTGGGTTGTGTTGCTTCTGCTCCCCTCCCTGCTGCCCATCTCAGGGGGAGAGATGAGAGGTGGCGTGGATCTACTTCTTGGGTTTTAGTAACTTTTATTAATTATCACCGGAAAGCTTTGTTTGGTATGTGCGGTTGCTAAGATTGTTTAAAGGCGATAAATTAAACGAAGATATAAAGTTTTAAACATTTAACTATTTAGATAATCAATCGAAAATTATTTTTAGATTAAAAAAAATAAAGAATTCATGTAATTAATTACGTTAGTAAATAATACTGAATTGGATATCACATCAACATGATAACCAGATAATACTTCAAGTCAAAAAAATTTAAAATACAAAGACTAAAAGATTTTTTTTAAAATAATTGGGATATTTTTATCAAAAGATAACTTTTTATATTTGAAAAAAAAAACTTAAATAAATAAGATTTAAATATAGAAAATGGTTCCAAAAGAAATGGGAGAGAGAGAAGACGGAAGATGGAAGATTCTTTGTTTGATTATCGATTATGATGCAAATGTCTCAACATTCTGATTCTGTGTTTCCAACATCCCACTCTGACATCTTTGGAATTCTGTCCAACTTGTACCATCCTGCTTCAATACTTGTACTCTCTTTTCATTTTCATCATTCATCCTTTAATCTTGAGTAAACTCCATTTTTGGTCCCTCTGCTTTACCCAAATTTTTTGAAAACTATCTGTTTAATAAGTATTTTCGAAATAGACATGCATTGGGTATATTTTTATGTAAGAGGTTGTTCGTTTGTTGGTTAATGGGCTGCATAGGCTATATGACTTATTTGGTAAGGCTTATTATTTGCTTGCAGCTTAATGATTCAGCTGAGTGCTTATTTGGTCAACCATAATATATGTGTCATATGTATTCAGTCATGATTATTCACAAACACCCTTATCAGTTTACTTCATAAACACGCCTCACAAAAGAAAAGCCCTCCCACAAGAAAAATCTATCTCTTCTGGCGCCTCTTTTCCACGTCGCAGGTCATCCTCTCCTCCCTCATAGTTGATCTAGTAACTCACGTTGCCGATCTCTTCATTTGTTCAAGGGTGTCCGTGAAAACCTCCTCGCTCGTGAAGCCTCATAGTCGCCTATCTTTTCCAACCTTCCCTCACCTTCGTTTGTGAAAACCTCCTCCCATATTTGATTTGTATCTTTTTGTTTCGTGTTTTTTCGTTCTAGGCTTCTCTCCTCTTATGTTCCATGTGTTTTTGTTCCACTTGCTTCATACCATATTTCTTTCGATGCATACGTGTTTTTGATCAGGCATAAATTGTTCCATGTTTTTTTTAGAAATTATTGTTCTTGATATCAAATTGCAACTGTTTACAAAAACCTGCTTATTAAGGATTTGTTGTATACTGATTTGTTCCATGTTTTTTTAACAAAACTTCATACCATGTTTTTTAATGAAGATTTGTTCTTGATAAATAATATCTGCTTGCATCAACCTGCAACTATTCATGAACATGTTTTAATTGCACATTTGTCGTATATCGGTTTGTTCCATGTTTATCAAACGGTTACTTTAATCCTTAGGGGTAAAATAGTCATTTTTGTCTTTCAGATTGTTTATTCAGCACAACAACCAAACAACAATATGCAGATGAATTAATCTATATAAACAACTTTATCCATGTAAAACTTAATAACAAAACAGTCTAATAATCTTTAAGATTAAAATGTGACAATTTTAAATTAAATGGGCTGAATTTAATCACTTTTATCAAGGCCTAAGAGGAAATTAAACGACAGTGGGGAAACCAAGTTAGTTCAGCCCATAAGCCCAAGATATATAAGGTCTGGTTTACACTTCAAAATTCAAAATCTGGATCAATAGCGAAGTAGCAGTCACAGACGAAGCTCGAGTCTTCTTCGTCATTTGGGAGAAAATTGCAGGTAAATATCTCGGTTTTATTGCTTTGAAGATTGGTATATAGTACTCCGAACATCAAATAGAGTCGATTGGCTGTTGCGTTAGTTTGAACAGAGGGATAGAAATTCCCTTTTTGTATGTGAAATAGATCTCAATCAAGTATCATATAGATCATACCTTCAATGTAGGTGTATTAGGATCGGATATTTGGGAGGAATCGAACTAAAATCGAAGATCGTTGAACTCAAAACCTTGATAATTGCCACCAATGAACGGGCCTGCTTCTATGGCTTGGTCTATAAACTTTTTTGACTATCGTGTAATGGATGGTTGGATTAGCAAGTATCACGAACTAGTTAAACAGATAAATCAATCCCAAAAAGACTTGAAATTATGTGAGATCATGTTGTTTTCTTCACAAAAATGTTGTTACGAAGTTTCAAATGTTATTTTATGGTATCACGGATCTTACAAAATAAGATAGTCGTGAACCCAACCCTAAACTAATTCGTGCAATGAAACAGAAAATCAAAATAATATGAATTAATATTAAAAATGTTTGAACAATTAATATTAATTTTAAAAATGTTTGAACAATTAATTAATTCACGACCATACAAAAGTAAGTTTGAGTTGACTTTGCTTTTTCATTCTTGTTCTCCTCGTCTTTCATTGTCCTGTGTAATTCCCATCATCTTCAAACTTTTGATTTCAACAACCATGGCAGATGCAGCTCTTTCTGGCCTTGTGAGTGATGTGTTGAGGAGCCTCACATCGACCGCTATCCAGGAGTTTGGGCGACTTCGGAGACTCGAAGCTGATGTTTCGGCTCTCAACAACACTTACACTCAAATCCAAGCTGTTCTCAGCGATGCAGAGGTGAAACAGAGGAAGGAAAAGGGTGTAGAAACATGGCTCAGCAATCTCAGATCTGCATCTTTGGAGGTCGAAAACATTCTCGACAATGCCTTAACTGAAGGTATGCTGCAAAGGCTACACAACGAAAGAGGCATCAAATACAAGGTAAGAGCCTTCTTCTCCTACAATCATAACCCCCTTTTGGTCCGTGCTAAGGTTGCTTATAAAGTAAAAGCCATAAGAAGAAAATTGGACAAGATTGCAGCAGACAGGTCCCAGTTTAACTTGATTAGCGATGCCGTAAGCGTGGATGATGGTGAGACAAGAAACATGGAAACTAGTTCACTCGTACCTACATCCATTATATACGGAAGAGAGGCAGATATGGAGATGGTGGCTCAGAAAATATGTAGCAAAGATATAGTTAGACACGACACTGAAACGGTCCAGGTGTGCGCTATCTGGGGCATGGGGGGAGTGGGAAAGACTACTCTAGCTCAATTAGTCTACAACAATGAATGCGTGAGGGAACATTTTGAGTTACAGTCATGGGTGTATGTCTCCAGTGAGTTCAAAGTTAAGAAGTTAACAAGAGCTATCATAGAATCCATTGATAAATGCCAATGCCAACTTCCGCAGCTGGATGCGATGCAGGTATATCTCCAAAACAAGTTAAAAGGAAAGAGATTTTTTATTGTATTGGATGACGTCTGGAACGACGAGAGGACGAAGTGGGATGAGTTAAGTAAAGCACTCAGTAGTGGAGCGGAAGGTAGCATTGTTATGATCACAACACGAAATCAAACAACTAGCAGAATGATGGCTAAGGTTCCTGAGTTCCAACATAAAGTGGGATGTTTGTCTGAAGAGGACTCGTGGTCATTATTCAAGAAATTTGCATTTGCATCTGGAAAGGAGGGGGGAAACATAAGGGAGCTAGAGTCTATTGGAAAAGAGATAGTCGATAAATGCAAAGGACTGCCTTTAGCAGTGAAGACTTTGGGTGTTCTAATGTGGTCGAAAGGTAATGCGAGTGAGTGGCAAAGTGTGAATAAGAGTGATGTATGGGAGCTCCAAGAAAATGACATTTTGCCTGCTTTAAAGTTAAGCTACCATAACTTGCATCCACATTTAAAACGATGTTTTGCTTATTGTTGTTTGTTTCCTAAAGGCTATGAAATGGGAAAAGATTTATTGATAGAGTTGTGGATGGCAAATGGCTTTATTCCATCTAGAGGAGAAACAGACTTGTATGTGATTGGGGAAGAAATATTTAATTGTTTGGTTTCGAGGTCCTTCCTCCAGGATGTGCAAGAAGACGAAAACTCCAAGGATTTGGTATGTAAAATGCATGATTTGATGCATGAGCTAGCACGATATGTGATGAGATATGATTGCTCAATTATAAACCCAGGTAAGGAGTTGATAACCCCTGATGAGGTACTTCATCTTAGTTCATCCTCTTCGGATTTTTTCTTCTTGGACCAGGATTTGGTAAGGCTAAGATCATTACGATCAATATTCATCATTGTTGATGAATACAAAGGGAACATTAGCCAAATTTCAAACCATGTTTATCTAAGGGTGTTGTGTTTGGATGGAATCAAACAATCAACATTGCCAGAATCAATTTGTGAATTGAAACATTTGAGATACTTGAGTATATCACACTCAGGCGTACATTTTCTACCCAAATCAATTATCTATCTCCAAAATTTGCAAGTCTTACTTGTGCGAGGGTGTACGAAGTTGGAAAAGTTGCCTGAAGGTATGAGATACATGAAGAATCTTCGATGTCTCGATAACCAAGACTGCTATCGAATCCACTGTATGCCTGTTGGAATGAAAGAATTAAGGTGTCTTCGAAGACTTGCAAGATTTGTTGTTGGTAAAAAGAAAGGGGCCCAAATTAGGGAACTGGGAGATCTAAATCTTCTTGGATGGGGGTTGGAATTAGATGGGCTTAAGAATGTTGGAGGTTTGGAAGATGCCAAGAGTGCCAATCTGAAATGCAAAATAAATTTAGTATCTTTGGTATTATGTTGGTCCGGCAGCGATGGATTTAAAAGTGAAGGAGAAACGGCTAGACACGATGAAGAGGTTGTCGAGGGATTGGAACCAAATTCGAGTCTCAAGGAGCTGGAAATACGAAATTACATGGGAAAGATGATTTCACCGAGTTGGATGATGAATTTAAGGAATTTGGTGAAGATCAACTTTTCGTGCTGTGAAAGATGTGAAAGCATTCCATCACTCGGAAAATTACCCAGCCTTAGGGTTATACATGTAGCGTGGATGCTTGTTCTCAAGTGTTTCCATGATGATGAATTTTCTGGTTTACAAGAGTTACACATATATCACTGTTTAAAGCTGGTTTCTATGCCTTCTAACCTTCCAAATCTTGAGAGATTAGATATGCGATCCACTGGTTTAGTTTCTATTCCTAGTAACCTCCCAAAACTCGAGAGATTAGATATAGATCATGCACCAGATTTAGTGTCTTTGCGTAGTAACCTCCCAAAACTCGTGAGATTAGACATAAATGATGCACCAGATTTAGTTTCTTTGCCTAGTAACCTTCCTAAACTTGAGAGATTAAATATTCGTTCCACGGGTTTAGTTTCTTTGCCTAAAAACCTCCCGGAACTCTTGAAATTAGATATGCATTTCATGAGTTTAGTTTCTTTGCCTAGTAACTTTCCGAAACTCAGGGATTTATTTATGGAGAAGTGCTCAAAATTAGTTTCTTTGCCGGTTAACCTTCCAAAACTCAACGACTTGTTTCTGGAAAAGTGTGAGAAATTAGTTTCTTTGCCGAGTAACCTCCCGAAATTGACTGAGTTATGCATATATGATTGCCCCCGAGTACATTGTTTGCCGGATGGGCTCAAGGAACTAACTTCTCTCACGATTAGGAAATGTGAAAATCTACAGCGAAGGTGTGAGAAAGAGATTGGAGAAGATTGGCCTAAAATTTCTCACGTTCCCTGTGTAGATGTGTCACGGTAACATTCTCTCCTGGATTTCTTTTCTTTCTCGTTCCCCTTTTCCCGGCCACAACATCAAATTTTGTTTGAATTGGAGTCTGCATGATGCTAAGAACATTTCACTAAATTTTGTTACTTGTAGGGGCTGAGGAAGAGGAGTGAATGGTTGGCGTGATATCTTAACATATTGAGCGTACATATCACTCAACATACTTAAGGTAATCCATTGTTTATATAGATTGTATGTTATGGTTTAAATTTCCTTAATTTGTGTACAGATTCATCATAAATCTTCATCAGATACCATTCATCCGCTAGTGGTTTAAAAGATTGTTGCATATAGTAAGTGCAATCTCAATTCTTGCATCTATTTCTTTAAGTTGTGTACATATATTCCACGTACGCATGTTTATTTGTCGTTATAGTTGTTTCATGAAGCTTTCGAGTTAAAAGAATCCGTGTTTAACTAATCATATGCTTTAGAACATTGATAGAGTCCACATTCTGTTCAAGTTGCTGTATATAGTTATGTAGCATTCTCTATACCTCTTTTTATGGGCATGCAAAAACATAATAAGTATTAACTTTATGAAAGAACATGTTATGCATATGAAAATGATGGAAGAATCAATCAAAAAAGACCCGTTAAATCACGTAATTTCTGGTCTATGACATTATAAAAAGAACGATTATCCACCGTCGGTCAATACTCAATAATGTGGTTTGTTTTGGATTACTTCCTGCTTATTTACGAAAGCTAGAGAACAATTGTGGTTTGCAGTATCTAGCAATTTGGACAGCAAGAAAACACCAACTGTCAATAAAAAATATGAAGTCAATTATAAAAATTAAAAAGTAATAGTTATTTATGTTATACCACTTCTTTCTCCCTTTTTTTAGTTTTTGTTTCAATCAACTTTGGTTTGTGTAAGTTTTCCCATACACGGATATGTGAGTACATGATGGTATGCTTTGGAGCATTGATGGGATTGATATTCTATTTTAAGTATTTTAATCTTTTATATAGAGAGAGGGGGGAGTGATCAAATACAAATTGCTTCTTTTGTACAAATTAACATTAATCAATATCTATTTAATTTCCTTTAATTTTAATTCATAAGGGTATGATTGTCCTTTAACTTTATAATAGATATTTTTAGCAATATTATAATTGTGCCTAAATCAGAAAGGTTATATAAATTAGAGGTATTTTAGAAAATGATCAATCAATTTATTTTTTAATAGATACTTACTAACTTATATTTTTCTTAGAAATTTATTATTTCATTTTCATAATAACAAAAGAAATCGGTATTTGTTTTTTCAATTTACAAATCTTACCAGATTTATTAATATCATAGTTGTGATATTTTCCGGATTTTGAGTATTTTATTTTGTTTCATTTGTAAAATTCATGAATAAATTGATTCTTTACAAATTTCATTTTAGTTAGGAACTATGAAACTAATTTCATTTTAGTTGAGAACCATGAAACTAATTTCATTAATGAAATCATTTTATTCAGTTTTCAAAATGTTTCATTGATTGAATCATATTTAGTTTCATTAATAAAACCAATTTCATTTTGGTTAAGAACCTTAAAACCAATTTCATTAATGAAATCATGTTATTCAGTTTTCAAAATAAGATTCATTCATTAAACAAATTTCACTAATGAAATAATATTATTCAGTTTTCAAAATGTTTCATTTATTATTGTTGATTAATAATAATTTCTAGGAAAAGGGATTTAATCCCGGAAAAGGAGATTTCAATCATCTCAAACGTTTAAAACTTGTTCCCGTTTTGCCCTTTATTGAAAAAATAATAATAATTTTTTTTTGTTTTATTTTTTTACTTTACTAAAATAAATTGTTTTAATCATGCTCTTTGATCATGAAAATGGATGAATGTGATTGGTTTGTATGAAATGGATAGTTTGCAAAGTAAATCTCTTTTATATATATATATATATATATATATATATATATATATATGGGTCCATTCAAGGGAGAACTGGTTAGTTTGTAGTAACCGTGAGATCTAATCTCAACCACAAATCAATAGATAAATTAGGAAATTTATAATTTTGGTAATTTTTAATTAAAATTTTAATGCAAGGACATTTTAGGTATTTTCTCTCCTCTCTCCGTCCCCGTCTTCCGGTGATACCACAGTGTGATACTCAAGCACATATAAGATGCATTGTGATACCACTGTGTTACATATCTGATCGACCGCACAAACGACCATAGTGTGATACCAATCACATATATGATGCATTGTGATACCACTGTGGTATCACCGGAGGACGGTGGCCGGAGAACGATGGTCGGAGAGAGAAAAGAGGAGATAGGAGAGAAAATACCTAAATGCCCTTGCATTAAAATTTTAATTAAAGATTACCAAAATTATAAATTTCCTAATTTATCTATTGATTTGTGGTTGAGATTGGACCTCACGGTTACCACAAACTAATTAGTTCTCATTTGATTAAGCCCATATATATATATATATATATATATATATATATATGGGATAATCAAATTGTTTAGTTTGTGCTAACTGTGAGATTCAACATAAACCAATCATTCAGGATAATTATTATGACTTCTTAAAATAAATAGAGCAAATTAGTAAATTGTGTTGAGTATTCAATTTACTTTAATTAGTTTAATATTCTAATTTTGAAATAATATGTGTGTGTGTGTGTGTGTATATATATATATTAGAATGGACGAGATTACCACTCGTGACCCTCTTTCCCCATTGTCGGTCAAAACGTGCTTCCTCTTGGGTGCGACACTTTACACTGATCTTTTTCCCCAACATCGTGTGATGCCTCCTTCTCCGCCCATCACTGACCAACGACCACTGTTGTTTCTTATTTTCTATCCATCTCCAACCACCGGGCATCATCTCCTCAACTCTCACCTTCACTGGTCCGAGTCCCTCCTGTTGAACAACCCAAATCGGTTTTGGTTTTTCATGTCCCAAGAGATCTGGTCTGCACACCCAGATCAGTTTCGGTTTATAGTTTTTGTTCAGATCAGGGACGTAAGCCAGATTTTTTCGGAGATGTAACCCAGATATCGTCAGAGATGTAACACAAAAAAGATGCAAGGTTTTTGGATGTAATCTAGATCTCTTTGGAGATGTACCGTTGAGTGTAATACAGTGGTATCACAGTTGTATTCATCAACCAGATCTGGTATTATAGCGTGTATCACAGTGTATTTTTGTCGTTATACAAAGTGTATCACAATATATTTTTGTTGTATTACGAGGTGTAACACAATATATCAGGTAATGTTGCTTACTAAGTGTATCACACTGTGTTTTTTTTTTTTTTGTTATTTTATGAAGCGTATCACACTGTGTTTTTTTTGTTATTTTGTGAAGCGTATCACAGTGTGGATCATATGTTTGACGGAATAAGATTCGCCTGAATAAAGTTTGACGAAAAGAGGAGAGAGAGAGAGAGAGAAGATATATAAGATTTTAAAAATACCTTAATTAAAATTTTAAGTCAAATTACCAAAATTATTAGTTTTCTAATTTAACCATTGATTTGTGTTTGAGATTGGATCTTACAATTATATATATATATATATATATATAATATACACATATGGTTTGATTCCAGTGAGAATAAGAGTTAATATGAGAAGCGTAAGAAGTAATTCCCATCCTTGGATGCACATTAGGAGGAGATATACCAAGATGAGATGTACCGAGATGTATCATATCAATCACCGTATTAAACGCGATTTTTTTTTAAGTATATAATATTTATATACGACAAATGCAACAATAAACTCACACACCCTCCTCACCTATGGTGAGGTTTGAACCCCTGATCTCCTAGAAGGCCAAGGGCTACGATACCTTATTAAACGCGATTCATAGGTGAGTTTAAGATTAAAGATGATCAAAAGTCCAGATCCATTATTACGCTTCTCAGCTTAATTCTCCTTCTTACACGATTCTTCGCCTATATACACACACACATATATACATAGACACACACACACACACACACATAGGTTCAAACGAGAATGCTACATATTAAAAGAATAGAAAAATGGGCAAATCACATCTGATTTTACACTAATATCACATACAATATCACATGTGATTCAGGCGACCTTACCCCACGACTTGAAGACGCAGCCACAAGTTGCCCGAACACTTTTTTTGACCATTAATGTAAAAAACAAGTGATTTTATACACGATTTGCCCGTTTTCGTGTTCTTTTATACATGTACTGTTCTCGTTTGATCTGCCTACACACACACACACACACACACATATATATATATATATACATATATAGGGGCATGTTCAAATGAAAACCATTCAATTCTAAGAAACCGTGTAAACCAATTTCGACCAATAATAAAATTCCTTTTTTTTTAATTAAATTTAATCAATAAGGGTATTTCGGTCATTTTCCATATTTTTTTGATAAATAAGGAAGTTATTAATGCATATTAATTAAGGAAATTTAAAAAAAGAAATTATGAAAATGGTAACGTTTCAAAATTTTATTATATTATAATATTAAAATCTTGATTTTAATTATTTGGTATTCAATGAATCTGGAAAGCTTGTATGAAGATTCTAGCCTCTTTAGGAATGAAATCGTGGTTTGAGGTTGGAGGGAAAAAAAAAACCATGTTCATGAAACTGTATTAATATGAAAAAGTTTCATTGTAAAATGATTTATTTGCTTCTTCTACGCATATTGTATATATTAATGAAATAGTTTCATAATRGTGAAACATGTTTATGCTCTAATTGATTCATGCTTCATGAAACATTTTTATGGTGATCCATGTTGCATTGTAATTAAAGTTGATCCGTTTAGTTGGTAGGATGAAAATGAAACGGGTGCATAATGGATTTTGTTCTTTATGAAATATATGTATGATGAAACGGGTGCATATTATATTTTATTCTTTATGAAATTAATGTTCATGTAAATGTTTTCAATGTGAAAAGGTTTCATTATAAAATAGTTAATGAAATATGTTTCATTAGGATGATACAGATTGTTAATGATTGTTTACCATTCTACCCTTATTGATGAAATAAACTAAATTTTTAATTTTTAATTTTTTTAATTTCCATAAATAAAGCATACAAATCTTGATCATTGATTAAGAAAATGGATGGTTGAGATTGGTTTACACAGTTTACACAAATGGAGAGAGTTTTCATTTGAACGCTCCTCTA